AATTCAAGTCTCTGCTTATAACTTCCTGCTGAACTCGAGTTGTTTATTCATCATTCGGAATGTCACCGTTATTTGAATAAAAATTAAATATAAAATCTGAGATTGCATTAGTGATCCAATGTGTAAACAGTATTATTATTGTTTAAAAAAACAATCAAAATTTGTTGAATATTCAATCACTAAATAATTTATGTAACAATTGGTTTTGAACGAATACTGCAGGTGAACTTGGATTCTACTTTTTTGCTAATCTTTGACTATCCATAATTCACAGCCGTGTGTTTGCGCTGGTCGGTATTCGGATTTAAACACTTTCACTTCAGTTTCGCGTGTTATGTCTTTTCTGTTAATAAATGTTTTATTCATGTTTCGAAGTTTTCTCGATTCTGTTGTTTATATATGCATCTTCTGTTCCCTTGTCATCTAATATAACTCCAATATATTTGTACGATGTTACTTATTCTATTCTTGTTCCTTCTATTTGTATTCGCATCCCTTATCTATTTTCGCCTATTGTCATTAGGTACCTGTGTTTCGTATTTATAAATCATCATTCCATAATCCTTTAATGCTTCATTCCATATATCCAATTTTTCTTTAAATTTTTCTTCACTATCTGCTATGATCACCATATCGTCTGCAAATGCTCCTTCAGCTCTTTCTACTCTTTGCAGTTTTCTGTATCCTGAATTTAGTATTTTAGTCATCGATATACATTTCCCAATTATCTCCTCCATGAATATTAAAAAAAGTATCAGGCTTAGCACCCCTACTTGTCTTAATCCTTCATATGTTATAAAGGTTCCTGATTTTTTGTTGTTGCTAAACACTATTCTTAAATATTTATGTTCTGTGTCATTGTTATTAATTTGTCGTCTATATTGTGGCATAGTTGCGTGGCATAGTTGCGAGACCTGATTAATGATGTGAAAAAACGAATATAGCTCTTTTGGTTCTGGAGATATACAGGAAAAACCAAAAAATTCCAAATTATGTTTTTGCCTATATCTTCTTTATTCGCAGACATATTGAAAATCTCTCCACATTTTGCTAGTGACACTCGATTTGGGCTATCAGAATATGTCCATGAATATTTTATACAGGGTGTCATCTGACTTGGGCCACCCCCATCGTTGAATTTTTAAATGCGGACTTATTCGAAGTTCATTGTAGAAAACGCTCAGAGCAATGGAAATATGAAAAAATATGAATAGGTACCTAAAAATGAAAAAAAAACTCTAAAAACTCCACAGTACATAGGGAGACGTGAACGTTGCTATTGTGTTTTATTCAACTCAGTCAACCAATTTCCAGGGCCGTAATTCAAAAAGGAATAATTTACCCAATTTTAATAAAATATTACCGAAACATCCCGAAATATAAAATAAAATTCAATTTCTCAGTATGAACTGAACGTCTGAGATCCAAAAACTACAACAAAAAATACAGGTCCGTATTTGAAAATTCAAAGAACAGGAAACTCACGGTTCTTGAAACAAATCTTTATTTGGGATTTTTTCTTTCACAATCACTTAACATGTATTATTTCTTTCAGGAATCTGAAAACAAAAAATGCGAGAAAAAAGACACCTCTGGCCCTCCATTGCAAACGGCAAGTTTCAGCGTGCGAGCGCTGATAGAAGAAAAAATAATAAACAAGCGCATCACCAACACTCCGCACTCATCGTCTTCATCCGTTCCGACAGAAGATTCTAAATCCAACGCTCCGCCGCTCTTTCCTCTGACCGTGCATTCCTCGTCGAACAACACGGATTTGGAATCTAAAATCTCCTCGTTCGTAGTTCCCGCTCCGCCGCAACAGAACACGGAGAAGGTCAGAAGACATTCCGATGCAGAATCGTTGAGGGGGTCCAGCACGCAGCAGGAGGCCCAAGCGTTAGCAGATCTTATCCTCAAGAGAGAGAAGGCTACTGTGAAGAGGACCGTTTCTGATCCTGGTCAATCGCAGTCTTCTCCTCTCATTCATTTCCAGCAGAATGATTCGTTCACGCTAGCCAATGTCAGTTACCAATCTGAAGAAGCGGAATTCATATCGTCGAGTCTTCAAGACGAAGTGTTCACGCAAGTTCAGGACAGCATGCTTCTTCAAGGTGGGTGACAATTTCATTCAGTCATTTTCCCAATCCGAATGAATTCACATTAACACAATCTATGGCTTCTCATTTCAGCTTAATAATATACGCTTCCTTGTGCAACTTTTTTCTCCGACCTCTTATTCTTTATGAATCATTTTTCTTTCCACATAGTCTTGTAGTTTCTATTCTGCAAGTTCAGCCACAATTCAGATATTTGGTGACTTCGATGTCCACAAAATTATCTGGCTCAAAGTTACAAATAACAATGATGAGTGAAGTAGCAAAGATGAGGATTTTGTAATAAGTTGTCTTACTCAGAGTATTGTTCTGTTTTCCTCCATAGGTCCCAGTCACCATCAGTTTCAGATTTTTCTGGACAGTGGTTGAAATTTCACCAGGTCCACAATTCCGTAACTCACACTGATTCAATAACAAATTTAGCACTAGAAAATGCAAATTTTCTCTCTAAACAATTTCTATTCCACTCCACGGTTGATTTCTAGGGGAGAAACACCAACCATTCCCTACATACAATCCACAATACTACAATTCGACAGCGTCTTCTTATTTTAATTCCAAAATAGGTCAACATCAATCCTCTGATTTTGTTATTGTACTTAAAGTATGTGAAAATGAACTTGCATCATTATTTTGTTGGGTCTTTAACGTATCTTACAAAATAGAGTAGGATTTCCTTTTTGAAAGAGCGCCTGTGTTCTGCTATACCCAAAAAAGGACAGCGAAAGTCAAAAAAATACCTATAAAATTTGCTTTGCATTACTGTCAGTCATATCGAATATCATTGAGCAGCCTGTAAATCGATATAGGTATATGGTAGGTAGGCGACACACACTATCTTCCGACAATTCAAGTCTCTGCTTATGATGATTCAAATGACAGTAACCTGTAAGAAGGCCTGTTTGTCATCGTAGTTCATTTCTACTGTAGTCCAACAACTGTTTGGAATCAAGCTTCGAAGGGTGAATAAACGCCTTTGAGTGAGGCAATCCTGGAAGATTCTGCCAGAAGTTAATAAATCTTCTTGCTATCCAGGTGTTTAGTGTTTGTTTGGCAAAGCCCAAAGCGATGCCAATGACAAGTTCTGGTATAATGAAGCCGCTTACAGCACCCTCCTTTGCAAGCGAGTCAGCAACTTCATTGCCTTCCAGGCCAGTATCGCAATCTGTTAAGTCTTCCTATCGATGAGAGTCGTTTTTGACAGTTTGCTACCAATTTAGACGTTGCTCGATAGGAGCTAAGAGCTTCCAACGCCGGTTGTCTGTCCGAGAATATTTTTATTAACATGTGAGGTTGAATTTACCCAATCTCCCCACACACAATTCAATGGCGTAAATTTCCGCTTGAAATACAGTCGCTTAAGTTCCTTGGCAGGAAGATAACTCTGTCCTGGGTCTGCGACTGAAAACACCTGCATCAGAACTGGAAGATGTTTTTGATCCATCTGTGAACCAACAACTATCTGCTCTTAATATTTCCTCCTCCCGGAGGATCCAGTCCTCTCTACTCGAGAATAGTACTTTATAAGGCAGTTCGTAATTGACAGTTGGAGGCATAAAGTCAGAGGTCATTTCCAGAATGCTGTGACTTCCAATGTCAACCAACAGTCTGTTGCACTCTGCATTGAATTGATTTGTGCAATTGGCAATATGCTTAAGTCTGTATGCAGTCCATCTACCCTCTCTTTCCAGAAAAATGTGGAGAGGAGGTAGATCTAGGAGGATCTTCATGGCCGCTGACGATGTGGTACTGATGGCATCACTGATAGCCAGACAAGCCTGTCTCTGTAAGCTAGAGAGCTTCGGTTGGACCGTTTTCTGTAAAGTCTTCGGTCACCAAGCAATTGCACCATAAGTGATCATTGATCTGATAATCATCACATAAATCCAATGGATTTGTTTGGGACCTATACCCCAAGTTTTACCACAAATCCTTCGACATGTCCATAGAGACAGTTTGGCTTTGTGTAAAAGTTTTTCCAAGTGAGCGTTCCAGGTAAGTCTTTTATCAAAGACAATGCCAAGATATTTCACCTCCGTTCCAAATGAATTGAGGGAAAGTGGCGTTAGATCGTCCAATTTTCTTCTCCTTGTGGAGGGGATTAACACAGTTTTGCTGGGGTTGACAGACATCTGCTCCCTCAGGCACTAACTGTGAACAACTTCCAACGCGCTTTGGAGGATATTACAAGCTACCCTTCCCGACGTGGACCTTGCCAGGATGACAAGGTCATCTGCATGCATATCAACTTTTCTGTCGAGAGCATCAAGCAGACTATCCACCAGGAGCGACCACAGAAGGGGAGATAGTACCCCACCTTGAGGGCAGCCCCTGGTGACCCTGAACCTGATAGCCTCGCCTTGAAGGGTTGTAGTTGCAGTTCTGTTCACTAGCATGGCATAGATCCAGCCAGTTATGGTCGATTCTATACCCTTCTTATCCAGAGGCAATCCTATAGATTTAGGTAGTGCATTGTCAAATGCTCCTTCAATATCAAGAATCACAGCAACCGCAATCTCCTTGTTGTCAAGGGATTGAGAGATTTTCTCAAAGAGGTTGTTTAATGCTAAATCTGTCGATTTGCCGGTTTGATAAGCATACTGGTGGTTATTCAGGGGTGATTCATATAATGCTACCCTCCTGATATGTCCGTTCAGTATCCTCTCAAGTCCTTTCAGCAGGAAGGATGTAAGGCTGATTGGTCGTACCGATTTGAAGTGTGGGTCTCTACTTTAGGTATATATACCACCCTTGCTGCCAACCATCTGGGTGGTATATAGTTCCATGCCAGACTAGCTCTATACAATTTTGTGAGTATAGGTAAAATTATTTCCAGTCCGTTTTGAAGAAGAGCTGGAAATATACCATCCTCACCAGGAGATTTGAAGGGCTGAAAGGACTTGATAGCCCATTCAACTGCCGGTGCTGTAATAACCTTTTTTGCGAAGTCACTCTCGTTCTTTTTTGGGCGTTTAGCTCCCTCGAAGATGGGCGATCTGTTGTTATCAAGAGTCAGATTTCCAGGAAAGTGGTTTTCTATCAAAAGCTCTAACGTTTCTTTACTAGAGGTCGTAAATGTTCCATCGGGTCGTTTAAGCGACCCAATTTCAGCAGTCGGCTCTCTAGAGAGAATCTTGTGAATTCTTGTGCTGCGAGGTAAATCAGAGATACTCTCACAGAACTTCCTCCAAGACTCCCGTTTTGCCTTTCTAATTTCCTTGTTGTATGTCGTTAGAGTGGTTTATATAGGTATATGCTTGAATATAAGGGATGTTTCAACATCTCGAGTGGTCATTATTATGCGAGCAGAACAAAACAAACACAATATATGTTCATTAGTTACACATCTTTGAAATATGCATTCGAAAAACAGACTGTTGCGTCTAATATTTCCAAGACCTATGACCATGTCTGTCGAAAGGAGTTTCTTATTGAATTTTGGTATTATGGCTGGCTCGAAAGTTTTTTTTTTTGGAAGAGTAGGTTATGTAAGAAGTGAGATGGAATTGGCCAAACTTGATGAAAACGATATCATTGTAAAATATTCCGCATCTTCAGGCGTGTTCAGTAACTACCACGCCGAAATTGAACATGTTTAAAGAAGGAGTTATCTTTTGTAACACGTGTAGCAGTTTCATGAACTGTTCAGTGGAAATCTCACAATACAATATGGAAGAAGGTCGCTCGTTAATCTTTGCTTCAGGAATCCGTATTGATAGCCATTTATAATAGTTGAGAATGTATTGATTAACAGCTTGGTTCACGATTTTCGATATAATTGTAAGAATTTGCCCACCTTGGGTGTAGATTAGCATGTGTAGCCTTACAAAAAAAAACATTTTTCGAAGATAAGTTTGAGAGCCTTCAGAATATTGGCGCAAGATCAATGGTGCAGTTTTCAACCAGGATGACAGGTACCTACTTGATCATGACCATCAACCTTACTGATAACGAGCTGCTTCAGTATTTGTCAAAAAGTAACATCTGCCATTATATATTGAACAGGGGTAATAATGGATGTTGTATTCTTTCTGAAAGTCAACTGTACATGGGGTGCAAAAAATTGTCCAGCAAGTAAATTTGCTTTTTTCGTGGCTGCTTCTGCTATTGAACCATGCGCTCGTTTTAGTGGTGAAATCATGAATTCAGTGAAATACAACAAATCATGAACACATTAAAGAAATTAGAAATTAAGTTATCAATTTCTATTGTTGAGCTGGTATTTTCCTTGAGTATGAATCACCAGTTCAGTTATCGATTTATAATAATTCAACTTTACCTATCGCTTCATTCAACCTCCAAGGTACTTCTGTTCTAAGTAGTATCCCTTATTATTTTTATATTATTCAATTATTCTATCATCGATTTGTTTCATTCTTCGTTTGTGATTTTCTCTGCTTTAGCTGCCACCAGTTCAATATCGTTCACCTTTCTAATAATTTTCACCTTTTTATCAACAGAACAGAACAGAAGATACCGATTCCCAATGTAATCAATAGTTCTCATTTGAGTTCAAAAAACCAACGTTTGAACTCCTACGAATATGCCCTCTATGAAGATCGATAAAATATTCAACACCCATTCATGAAAGCCAAGCTTTGATATCGACTAAATAATGACACGACGCTTTCCGCCTTTTTTCACTTTCACTGTAAACAACTAAGTGATATAAGAGTCCGGTCGAGTACCACTAATGTACTGGTGAAATTTATATGGTCGATTCAATAGCGTTCTACATCATCTAGAACTAGAAAACTGTTTTCGGTGAGAGCTTGTTACAATTTTTAAATTCCACTACCTGTTTATACAGCCTTTCGCGTGGCCCACTCAAAAATGTTCACAATGCTATTTACAGAATTGAAGAAACGATTTGGGTTAACTTGATTGTTATCATTAACGTGTATCATTAACGTGTCCCACTTGGAGACAATCATCAAGATATTTACAGGTATTCCACCTCAATAATTTTTAATTTGATATATAATCCAAAAAAATATGAATATGTAGGTATTTTACAAAATTGTCATTTTTGTGTATTTCTTATGAGTTTAAAAAAAACATTCTGTAACAGAGAGGTTTACGGCAAATAAATCAACAAATGATACCATAATGTTCAAAAAAGTACATTGCTAATCTCAGTAATAGATGAATTGTGAAGGAAATTGAATTATATATTATGTTATCAATTTCAAAAACATATTCAGTCCACAAGTTTTTCCTATGAAACTGTGAAAAAAAATAATAAAGTTTAGAAGAGTTTAGCAGAGCACTGAAGTTACTTGCATGAACTGAATCAAAAATAAAATTTTCAGGAGTTGATCCTCACCAGTTGGCTTCTATTCAATTCCAAACCGACAGTCTACTTCAAGACCAAAACGAACAGCAACTTCAAGACTTCAAATTAGACGACATCAGTCTTCAAGAGTCGGTTCAACAGTCACCATCGTACCAGTCGAGTCACTCGGTCAACCAAGAACTTCAAGCCGTTCTGGATTCTCCGTTGCCAGAGAGTTTAGCAGAGTTCAGCACCTTCCATTCTACGAACAGCCTGGATATGCCTTCGCCAGGTTATCAGACGCATTCTCCTGCACAGTACGCGAGGTCGCCTCATACGATAACTGCGCAGTCTCCTTTGCAGAGTCCGCTGATAAGACACGATTCGCCAGGTTTCGCTTATCCGACGCCTCCAGCAAGTCATGAGGGACAAAGTCCAGGATTCGGGCAAAATACTATTCTTCCAATGGTGTCGCCAAACGCACAAGAATTTGGACAGATTGTTGAGAGAGGTAAGGAGTTGACTCTTTGACATGTGACTTTTTATCACAACAATAATTACCTTGTTCTGTTATGAAATTTCAACTTTGCTTGATTTCATTTATTCACAACATCAACCTTTCAGTAAAATACACTGCAACCTCTAAATCTACGACCATTTTCAATATTCACTTTCAAGGGCGTCGCCCTTATTCACTTTCAAGGGTGCAGGGGGGCAGTTACCCCCCCCCCCCTAAAGATCAAATGTAGCTAGCCGCAAAGCGACGAAAGTGTGAGCGAAACCTTACAAACATTATCTCAGGAAGGAAATAGTGCAACTCGGAAAAGTGCCTTCCAACTACATGCGGCTACTTCCAGTATTTCTTTCATTCCCGGGATTATGTTGGTAGTCAAATACTCGGCTTTGATGGAACCCGTTGTCAACGTACTCCAATCTGTAGCTTTGGACGTTGTCAAAGCCTCGGAACACGTTAAAAGGGTTTTACGTTTAATTAAAAACCACCGTGAAAATCCGGAAAAAGTGACAGACGAAATTATAAAGGAAGCTACTGCTGTTGCGGACAAAGTAATACGCAATACTGCGTATTACGGGGAAACAAAGTCATAGAAGCAATCATCCAGCAGAAAACCCTTTAGAATACTGGAAGAGGTCTTCAGTAATACCATACTTGGATTCAATTATCTTCCCTTGAAGTACGTTTTGCTGAAGAAAACGCGCCATCGTTCGCATTATCTAAGTTACACCCGGTGCAGATGCAAAAGATCACAACTGAAAATCTGAAACAAATTTGTGAATCTATTGCCCAGTTTTATAATTTACCGAACAATTGTGGCACGATAGGCTTAATCTTACGAATCTTACAGTTGTTGATGTCCTAAAAGAAACAAATTTCTTCTTTCCCGAAATGGAAAAAGCATTGAAAATTTTGATCGCTTTACCATGCACGACCTGTACAGTAGAGCGACCCTTTAGCAGCCTCAGAAGACTAAAAACATGGCTAAGAAGCACTATGGCAGAAGATCGCCTTAATGGTCTGGCCATGATTAGTGTAGACAGAGCTATAATAAATAAAAACCTAAATAATTTTAATGATAAAGTGGTTAAAAGTTTTTCAAAAAATCCCCATAGGTTACGTTTTAATAAAATATTATTTTTGTTAAAATAAATAATTATTACTGTGTTTAAAAGTTTGATTTAGTTATTGTGCTGTCGAGGGCTT